AGTAGTCTCAATGCACATACTAAACCATCAAAGTCTTACGAAAATTGGTTCATTTATAAAAATTGTTGATTTGTGAAAATTTGCTTTTAGAGAATACTCTGAGTTAACGTGTTCGTTCGTTTTCAATTATGTGCAATAAATCCACTCGGATTACTTTTAATTACTCATAAATTAATTTATATTTTATTGATTAAGTCGATTATTTACACATATGGGGAGGTTCATGTAACTTGCCTCAAGGCAAAATACCAATACTAAACTAGTAAACCAGAATTAGAAATAAGTAAACCAGATTTACTTTTTTTTCACAATTTCACAGTGAACACAATGCCGGTTTGTCACATGAAATTAACTGAAGAGAGAACAATAAGTAGTTGTCAAACAAATGAGTAGCAGTCAAACAATGTATCTACGGGCGCCATCTACTTAAAATATTAGTTTGTAGTACGTGCTAAGTATCAGAAATGACGCTGTATGTGAAAAAAAAGTTTTCCACTTTTCTGTTGAAATTTTTCTTTAATTTTCTTTGCTATAAACCTCACGGAGACTGAGACCTTTGCAACGAATGCAAAATCGTCAAAATCGGTTCGTGCGTTCTGGAATTATATCGTTATGAAAGAAAACCCGACTTATTTCTATGTGATAGAAGAGAGAAGGGAAAAATTATAAATTATATATCTATAATAGCATTAAAATATGTATAATATTTAAAAACAATAATGTAATTAAAGTCATACTTCAAATATGACAGATCGGTTTGCCATTGTAATTAGCATTTAGAAATGAACCTTCATTAGAGAAATGAAGTAATTGCTGATTAATAAATTCTTTAATATTTGTTCACACAGTGGATTATGTTAAACAACGACTAAACAAATATTGTTTTTAGAACTTCACTTATCATGTAATTGTGTTCGAAGAACTTCATGCAGTTAAAATTAACATACATTCATTGACTGCTTGTATTTTTTTCACTTTTTTGCTGGCGATATAATCTCATACAGTTGTAATGTCTGTCTTGCCTAAAAAATATTTTCCATTTTAATAACTTGAAAGATTTATAGAAACTACGAATAATATAGAAATAATCTCTAATCAATAAACTTACGTGTGTTTGTTTTATTATTTTCAACAAATAGGGTAAAATATTCTTCTGATTCAGGCATTTTTCATTAAATCGAGATTAGTACTTCAATGTAACTTTAAAATGTTTATTTATCTATGCTGATTCCTTGTTACGCATACAACGCATACAACGCTGATTCCGTTACGCATATTCACATACGCCACGACTAATCACTGGCACTCGACTCTTATGTTATCGACTCTTATCTGCCGTAACTCACTTCCGTAAAGAAGTTTTACTTCAAAAAAGAAAGTTTTTGGTTTCTTTAAATGAGACAACGATTTCTTAAATATTTTCTGAGGAAAAAAATTATAATGATTCAAATGATTGAGACAATTTTTTTTCCAAAATCAATTATTTTGTTAAGACAAGCAGAAAGTTCTTTGAATCATTTAAATCGGTCGCTTAGTTCTCTCAAAAACTGCCATTTTTTACATATTTAGCTCCGTATCTTCGAAATGGCTGGGCCTGCCTTTGCCAAAAACTAACAATTACTTCTCCCAATCATTACTAATTGAATGTTTTTTAGATCTTTCAAATCGAATGCTTCGTTCACTCAAATACTCGATTTCTATTTTCTGCACTCTTTGCTCCGTATCTCCGTAACGGCTGGACCTGCCTTTGCCAAAAACTAATCAGCACATCTCCTTATCAATGGGAATCGAATGTTTTTTGAACCATTCAAATCGGTTGATCCGTACGCCCGAAAACATGGACAAAAAATTGTATCCATACATACATACACACACACACATCCATTTTTTCTGAGGTATGGCAAAATGTTCAGAAACTTTCAAAACGTCGAGAAATAAAGAATTTTCAATTTCGATTTTCGGCCCATTACAATAACTTACTCTACGGGAAGTTAACTAGTGGGGTGCATGGCATCGTGCTTTAAGGCAAATTGCTAGAACTTCCCGTACCGTAATTGAAAATCTTGGTACGGAACCCAGAAAAAAATAATACAAAATGTGTACACATGATGAAAATCTCTATAAATGTACTTTTGTTACTTAGTTGTACCAAAATGTACTTTTGTTACTTAGTTATAGAATTTATTAAAACTCTCCTTCGATAATTCAGGTTGTTGGGTTATAATTTAACTCTTGTAACTGTGGACTGTATTAAACACTGATTTGTTTGTATATTATGTATTTGTTGCACTTCTAATTACAATTACTGATTTGTTACTAAGTTATAATGAAAGAAGAACTAGTTATTTTTATTCGTTATTTACATGTTGTTAAGCGGACTTTACTTTTAGAAGTGAACAACTAGTGCAATTAAAACACTTCGCTACCCCCTCTACCAAGGGTAGCAACCATTCCGTGTAAAGCTTAATGCCCTGAAGTTTTATCACCTTCATGGCCAATATAATAAAACGAAAAGACGTCCGAACATGCCGGCCGCCTTGAAAAGCTACAGCTTTTAAAAATATCAACATAGCGATTTTGAACTAACAATAAGTATAGCAATTGTATAAAGATTTTACGAGTATAAAAATTGATTAGCAGTGTAATAGTGATTTGCATGACAATCTAATCTAAAATTATTTAACTTTTATTTCTTAATGTTATATAAAACTTAAGATATTTCATTGTTGATTGGTAGAATGCACACTTTGTTTAGTGCCCTTTTTAATTCTCCATTGGGCCCTTCAGTGTAACAACCCATACGACACTATCATTGCCTGGGTGTATATCTGTGATCGGTCCAAGATGCCATTTTAATGGTGGTAGATTGTCATCTTTTATAAGCACCAGTTTGCCTATAAAATTATCTTGTTCAATTGGTCTTCCCCATTTGGTCCGTGATTGTAATTCTCCTAGATATTTTTTGTGCCATGGCATCATGCCTTAAGGCAAATTGCTGGAACCGTACCGTAATTGAAAGCCTTGGTACGGAACCCAGAAAAAAATTACACAAATGTGTACACATGATGAAAATCTCTATAAAATATTTGTTAATTTTATGTGCATAATAATAATAATAATAATAATAATAATAATAATAATAATAATAAGTCCAATAAACATTTATGACCACCAAATGACATTTTTTTAACTTTTTTTTATTGAGAGTCCATAACCGCTAGATCTGCCTTCCCAATGTTTTTTTAATTATTAAAATCGGACGCTCCAATCTCTTAATAACTAAGTTGCCCACTTTTTGCTTCATATCTTCGCAACGGCTTGACCTGCCTCCGCCAAAAACTAATCTGCACGTCTCCCTATCAATACGAATCGAATGTTTTTTGAATTATTCAAATCGGTTGATCCGTGTTCCCGAAATCGTCGACAAAAATTTGTATCCGTATACACGCATGCATACAACCACACATACACACACATTCATCCATATTTTCTAAGGTATGCAAAAATGTTCAGAAACCTTTGAAACGTATAGATATATACAAAATTTGATTTTCGATTTTTGCGATTACTATAAATCACACCACGGAAAGTTAAAAAAATGACTTAAAAAATTTCAAAAAACAAATATTTTTTAAAAAATCTATTTGCTTCAAAAATTTCTGAATATTTCGAAAAAATCGATTTTTATCAAAAATTTCCAAATTTTTAAAAAATTAAAAAAAAAATATATTGTACGAATTTTAAAAAACTACGAACATATAATTTTCAATTTTTTTATGAAATTTCAAAATTTGCAACTAGTCAGAATTAAAAAAAAAAGAAAATCTTGTAGGCATACGTATAAGTTCTTAGTACGCTAATTTATAACGATCACTTATTTTACAGTATTTATAAAAATCTATTTGAAATAATTGCAATAATTAATCAATGAGTGTTAATTATAGTACTGGATGTTCCGTACATTTTCGCGACATGTTTAAATAAGCTACTTCATTATTAAAAAATCAATATAATAAATTCAGATTGATATATAAGTATAATGAGTTGCTGTAGAGCATCATTATGTTGGAAACTTTTGCAGATTATTCAATTTTGTTCAATTATTTTATTAAAAACAAACACATGCATAATACATACACAAAGTATTTTTAATAGCAACGATTCATTTTTTTTATAATTTAATTACTGTTCGTGGGTTAATATTTTAGTGTGATAGAGCAAGGCAAAAAGATCCACGGGTAATAAAGTTCACCGCCGGTATCTCAAAAACCAGTAAAGTTAAGAATATTTTACAAAAATATTTGAAAATACAGAGAAAAAGTTGTATCACCTTGCCTCTTACGACCTTGCTATCGGGAGATAAAAGGTAATCTTTGAAAATCCGTAACAAAAGTATTTTCTTTTGTTGCTAATTTTTTAGTTGTGAGCACTGTTGTTTAGTTTACAACACCTTAATATAATTTTTGAGTATACGTCATCTTATTAATTTATAAGATATATTATTGATTTTGATTTAGATTCAACCGTTTTTTGTATAACTTCTATAAAAGCTTACCTAAGTGTGGTAAAAAAGACCAACTAAATCTATACCCGACAAAATGGCAAAAAGTAACTAGTGATGTATGGTGTCGGGCCTTAAGACAAATTGCAGTAAAGTCCTGTACCGTATGAAAATATCCAAAGAAAATTGAATGTTTTCAAATATATTATTATAAATACTGTAACTTTCACCATTGGTATTTTATAGAAAAATACAAGCTATCGTATGAATTCGACCTAACATTTATAAAAGTTTGCATAAAAAGTAAATGGACACAACGTAACTAAGCGGACTTTATCTCATACTTCTAAGAATTATATAAACTAAATTGCAGAGTTAAAATTATTTTCGACAGCTAGAATTAAAATCAAAAACAAAATTATTTTTGACATTCAAAAAAAAATATGTTAAACCACACATAACATTTTTTTTTCAAAAAATTGGAAACAAAATTCCTTACCGACACAACTGTATCCATTTCGGTGGAGTTCATATCCTTCTACACAATCGCACTCGTACATTCCATCATGCAACTCATAGCACAGTTGTTCGCATGGACTTCCGCGGTCACATTGCCCTGTCGAGTAACTTTTTATTAGTCATGGCATTCAATAATGGTTCTTATATCTACAGGGTATAATATTCATATATAAATATATATATATATATATATATATATATATATATATATATATATACTAGATGACCCGACAGACGTTGTCCTGTGCCCAACTCTGCATTTTTTCAATATCCTGTACTAATATTCACCGTTCAGTTGAAATTAATAATTATTGTTTTTCGAATTACTATTTACATCAATAAATGAGTGAATGTAGAACTGCTTCAAATAAAATGATGATTCTCAATTCCCACAGTTAACACTTTAATTATCCCTTTAACAAATATTAAAATATGTTCAATAAAATTATATAATAAAAATTAAACACTGCAATTTATAGTACAAATTTATTTCCAATAGCTCAATTCATTTTAATGTCAAGGGTTATACAATTTTTAAGTCATACCTGTAGGTGTGGATGTAAAAATGAATGATTTTTTGTTTATTCACGACTGAAACATTGACTTTCCAAATGTATCACACAAAAAATCATCGCCTGCCTTTGTGATTTATAGCATAATTTACATGTGTTGAAAATTGAAGTGTTTTAAAGGGTATAACAAATTCAGAAAGAATTAATAAATAGCATTCCCGGTAAAGGTACAATATCACATTGGTTTTTTCTACCCAAAATAATGACTTCAATAATGTTGCCTATAATTTTTATATATTTGTACCATATTTCAACTGGCTTTTAGTAATTTTTATATCTAAATTACATTTTTCTCACTATTAAATTTATATACATTATTACTTAAGTTTATATTTGAAGTGAATTAATTTGTCAAATCCTGTTCACATTTTAATTCTAATTTTATCAATACTTGCAATACACTATTTTGAAGGTAATTAAATGAGCTACAACTTTCTCTATCATAAATTTTACCGTAACTTCTCTTATTTTGAAATGGCAAAGCATTGAAGGACTCGAAAGACATGCTGGTTGTACACTATCAATATTTGTGTAACAGAAAAATAATAAAAAGCAATAATTGGTCAGTAAAAGACCTTGAATTTTCATTTATATACCTTTATACGTATCTTTTATTTTTTTAAATAGATTTTTTTTCATGAAATCACGAGCTTTTTGGAAATCCTTTGCACTAAAGTTTTGGTATTTTTTAGAATCCGTCAAGATCTCTTAAACCAAGTTGATTCCAGAGGGAATACGATTATTTTTAATTTTGGTGGAAATGGCACTCAAAAACTATTTGCTTTAAACGAAAAAAATATTGTATGCGTCTTTTATCTGCATGATAGCTCATTCATCTTACACCCAGAAGTACTAATTTTAAAGCTTATTTTGAGTACTATAAAACCCCATTTTCATATCTAGCTTAATATTGTTCTTAGAACAATTTATAGAACACCGATTTATTAGGATTTTGATTGATATAATTTTGTTCATTACATGATTTTCGTTTAAATGTATATTTTTAGAAATAATTGCCAAAAACGATGAAAAACGCGAAAAACAACAAATTTTCAGTAGCCAGTAACTTGAAAAGTTATATTTCTTTTTTGAAAAACATTATTAAACATTTTTCTATTCTAATTAGTTCTTTTATCGATATCCGACGTTAGTTTGAAAGAGATACAATTGAACCACTGAAAAGAGATGTCATCCCCCCGGGAAGTGGCAAATGATTCTAAATTATTTTTACTTTTAAACTTGAGAGTAAGATGAACCTAATTCCAAAATTACATGCAAATTGGAGCACATTAAAAATATTCAGACCCAAAATGCTCCATTGTCTTGAGTAAATATTTCGTATCCAATGCCAAACATATGAATTTTTGACACAATGAAACTTCTAAATAATTGTTTGAATAAATAAATTATTTTTGTATCGTGGTTTAGTAAAGTAAGGCAAAACACGACTGCATTTAAAAGTTAAAAAATAATAATTAGTCAAAGTGAATTGTAGGCTAAGTTTTATGTGCGATCACTGACAGACGCATGCGCAGACTGCATCACCTGTCAGATGTTGACTGTATCTTATACTAAATCTTATATTATTTTAATTTTTAGCACATCTCAGCGTCTTTTTGGCAATAATAATGTAGTCCTTACATTTTTCTTATTCATAATCATAAATATATTATATTTTAATATTGTCTTAGCCTATAAGTGAATGGAAATGTTTGGCAAATGACAGTCGTCTTTTGTTTTTAATGTCAAACTATGCCTTAAACATTTTCAAGGGCAAACAATGATAAGCGTTTTTTTGTAATTTTTTCCATTTATTTCTACAATCTAACTATATTTCTATGAATCAAAGCATTCTAAAAAATTTCTCGAACAAACTTGAGGAAGATTCATGAAAATCCGAATTATAGTTTAGGAGGATTAATGAAACTTACATTGTTACAGAAGAATTTTATATATAAGATATGTTAGGGGTATCCATCCATTTATAATAATTATTTTAATATTATAAATTACTATATGATGGTCAAAATACATACTACGCAGTTCTTATGCTTGCACATGCCATTACATTATATCTTCGAGATAAGCACAACACGTGCTCAGAAATAACGGACTTTACAAGGCTTTCTAACCGCAAAACCGTTGTCGTTACTTTGTAATACTCAAAGAACAAGTAAACAAAGTCATAAATCATTTTTATCTAGGAGTGTAGAACACACCCTGGCGGGAGCTAGTATTTAAGCTGCTGAATGATGCAATAAACAGTCGGTATGAGTTAAAATCAGTATGAGTTAAGACGAGAATGAATTAATATCAGTATGAGTCAGTCGTCATCAAGTTTTAAATAAGTTCACATCAATAATGTTCAGATCGATATGAGTCAGTAGTACTTTAGTAATCAATGGAGTTATATTTAAGTTCAGTTGTTCAAGTAATATGCAAAGTCAGTAGTACTTTAGTAATCAATGGAGTTATATTCAAGTTCAGTTGTTCAAGTAATATGCAAAGTGTACAAGAAGTCATGAAATAAACATAAACATCACACGTCTTCATCTGTTTCACTGATTCGACTTCACAGCATTGGCAATAGTTTAGCAGCAGAAAGAGCCTTCTTATTGTTGGCACCGACGCTGGATGGGACACATTAATTTATTAATCTTAATACAAAGCACGGAGTTAAATAATGTTTGCAAAAATAATCATATTCATATCATATATATATACTAGCTGACCCGGCAATCGTTGTTTTGCCATCAAAAATATTTTGCCACTTTGCAATCGATCTTATTATTTGAAAATAGATTGAAATTTGAATCTGGTGGATCAACATGAATCAATACTATTGATCAAAATTTCCTTAAAATTTATTAATTAGTATTAATAAAAAAATTAAAAAAAAAACAATAAATTAAGTTTAGATTTAATTTGATTTGTGATTCTATTGTATAAACATGTCAAATAATGTCAAAATATTATCTATAGAAATACTTAGATTGAATATAATGATTGGCTTTATTGTATATAAATACAATAAAGCCAAAACAACACATGCATGAAAGCATTAAATGATTCATATTAAATAATACAAACATATTCTTTGAATATTGAGAAAGAGTTTATGATCTACACGTATTCGTTTATAATTTCAAAAGTCGTAATAGATTAAATTATTATATATGCAATACGAATTCATTTCTTCGAAAAACTGAAGACTTCCAAATGCAGATTAATTGCAAGCTCTTTATCACATTGAAAGTAAACCAACAATAATTTCGCTGAGCGGCGGCGCCGCCTTTGATTTTAACTATTTGGTATTCGGCCGAATAGTAAGTTACAATGTATTCAGTATTCGGCCAAATATAAAAATAAGTGCCGAATAGTGATCGTATAACGATTTTAAAGTGATATCTGCAAAAAAAATATTTTATATAATGAATACTCACAATCAACAAAATTACCACTTCGTAACATTTTTTTCTAACTTTATACATATTAATCATGATAATTATTAAATATTTTTGTTTTTTATTACATATATAGAATATTATTTTACGTAAAACGTGCCGCTGTTTCAAAATAATATAGAGCCATTATATTGTTTTGAATAAAAATACTCAGCAAGTAAAGTATGTTATTATATATCTTGATAAAGAATCGGATCTTAAATTAGTTTTTCTTACTCAGACGTTTGATTTTGGTATGAAGTACTCAATATATTCGATACTGACACTGAGTTAATTAAATTTGATATAATTCTGTAGGATTACTATTAAACAAATGAAATTTGTTTGTTGTTTCTATCCATATAGTTACATATATAATAAAAATTGAGAATAAAAACCGAGAAATAAAAGATAAAACTTATATATATATATATATATATATATATATATATATATATGTATATATAAGTATATATATATATATGATTTAGTAGTTAATTTTGATGTTGAAATATATGAGTGAGTTCTTGAGGGCGATACATCAAACAAAGAAAAGCCAAAGATTTATAAAATAATCTTTATTTCCAACCGTTTCGACATTCAATTTAATGTCATCATCAGTGGATCTAAAAACAGTATGAAAATTAGCATATCTAGGTAATTATAATTATAAATCTTTGGCTTTTCTTTGTTTGATGTATCGCCCTCAAGAACTCACTCATATATATATATATATATATATATATATATATATATATATATATATAAAAATAAGTCGGGTTTTCCTTCCTGACGAAATAACTCCAGAACGCACGAACCGATTTCGACAATTTTGCATTCGTTGGAAAGGTCTTGGGCTCCGCGATGTTTATAGCTAAGAAAATTAGTGGTGCATGGCATCGTGCCTTAATGAAAATTGCTAGGAATTCACGCACCGTAATTAAAAATTCGAGTAATAAAAATAATCAATAATTGTTTTAAATAATTGCAAATAGATTATCTTCTATATATATAAAAATAAGTCGGGTTTTCCTTCCTGACGAAATAACTCCAGAACGCACGAACCGATTTCGACAATTTTG